GAGAGAGAGAGGGAGAGGGAGTATAACATGAATAGCCAAAAGAATCTGGGTAGTATGTTCATGAAAGAATAAGGGATCCGTAGAAGCAAACCGGCAAAGAAAGAGAAGAGTTACCCAATGGCATCCTAAATGCTAACAAAGCCTATGGGGAAGAAGGGAACATGTTCAGTAAGGACTCAAGCCATAAGCCTGACAGGAAAGGTGGTAAGACTCACCTGAGACTGAGTGGCTTTGCTTGCTTCTGTAGGAGGGAAGGCTGCAACGAAACTTGTATTGTCAAAAAGATCAACCTCAGTTGCCACGTTGCTGCTTTTAGTAACAGTTTCAGATGGAGCTGCATCAATGAGGTCATCACCAAAACTATCACCAAGTAAATCCATATTATTATGGCTTGCAGCACCTGCAAAATAAATTTGAACCATAAGCATCCAATAAGTCAACAAATAGTCCCCATTTCATTATCAACAAAAAAAATATTTTCCATTGTATCCCCTAAGTCTTTCCCTACTGAATGGGAAGAGGTTTCTTTAATTGATAGCTAAAGAGATGTATTGAAAAGTAACAAGGAAAACATAATAACAAAGACTAAACTAAACACCAACAGATATTTGAAAGAAATAAAATTCTGGAAGGAGGAAACTTCTTTCCAATCACGAGTGCAAAAAGGCCATTTGGACAAAGTAGTTGTGAATATTTAGAAAGGAGATCATTTCCTTATCTCAATAGTGGCATTTGTTGCTTTAACATAAATGGTCTCGTTTTTAAGATCTAGAACTTGATTATAGAGTTATTTTGGAATGGTAACTCTTCTTTCACTTAGGTAGAGGGAGTTTGTTAGGGGTGGGCACCATTTGCATAAAAAAAAATACAATAATTTGGGACCAACTCCTATCAAGTTAAAAAAGGGGATGGGCAACTACAACACCAGTTGCCTTTTATCATTCCTCTTTTAATTTTTATCCCCACACCCCACACCCCCACCCCCACCCCCACAAGAAAAACCACCGCACCCACAACAAACACACCACCAGTTCAATTTTGATGGGAGTTCAGCTGGAATAGCGGGGCCTTCATGGGTTGGGGGAGTGTTCTGGGACCACATGAGTGGGGCAAATCTCACTTTTTCAGGTCCAGCAGGGTCTATTAACTCCAATAAAGCCAAACTTATGGCTTTACTGAGAGGCTTCGTCTTTTGGATTTCTGGTGGACCTCACTCATCAAGGGGAATCTTCCAATGTTATTATAGGGCAATGGGAGAGTCATCCATACCTTGGCAATTGGACCATTTTCTTTATGAAATTCTTAAAATATGCATAGCCTTTCAAATCATTTCTGGGCATACTTTTGATAGGTAGCAGCATTGCTGAATCCTTTGCTAAGTACTGTAGAGGTAGGCAGGAACTATTTATTAAACCATCCCGTCTATAACCATTTCTGTCTTTTTTCTGATTTTGTTTTTCTCTAAGGTAAACTCAACAACTACATCAGTTTTGTACATTTCATCTTTATATGACAATAAAGTCAACTTACCAATCAAAAATAATTTGAGTACGCAAGTTGGACCAATCTAGAGAATATGTATAGACAGCAAGACAAAGAGGTGTGAAGTTATCGGGAGTTGGAACAAGTTACGTGGTATCGCTAGGGAATACGTGCCACGATGCCTTCCAGACTTTGCAGCCTACCCAGCCTAACAAGCTTAACCAAGGTCAAAGTGATCCCATTTTGTCCAACCCTAGATAGAGAAGCAGAACCTGATGTTTACATTGGCAGCGACAATTAGGAAACGCTTAAGGCAATTTGTAAAGAGGTTTGATAATGTTGTCATCCCATCCAATGAATTCAAATAGCAAATATTCTGAAACTACAAGATCCACTATTCAGATATAGGGCCCAGATTCAATCCCCCAGCTGCATATGAGCTTGGATGGCCTTCGCTTGGATAAGGATGTGCCCAGGTTGATGTATTCATGGACGAGTATAAGGCTATGGGGCAAAAAACATGAGTAAAAGTCATGTCAAATGGCTAGAAGGACCCAAATCAATTTCCGGGTATATTATTCACCAGGGACGGTCTTGTACACTGGTGTAGATGCTTGCAACAAAGTCAAGAGTAGGACACATCAATTTAAGTTACTCAATAATGTGACGGAGGCTATGCAAAGGAGGACGTAGTTGAAGGGATAATATATAATGCAAAGAACCATGGAGAATGTGGAAAAGAAGATTCCCAGGAGGCTGCACTTGTTCGGAGCACATGCACACCTCACTGTAAGGACCTTGCCATTGGCGAACCGAAGCAAGTGAAGGGCTATATTGAGAAAGGGAAGACAATAAACAAATTAATACACAATAATTATTCATGGGTCCCAAACACAATCAGGAGATAAACAGGAAGAGAGTTGATTAAAATCAGTCATTTCGAGATTTGCAACCCCTCATACTTGACAATAGAGAATATCATCATGTTGCAGACAGGATGAAAAAGATGGCTGCACATAAGAAAGTTGTTACTTCAACTCTCCCAAGGATTCAAAGGAATTATTAATGCATGAAGTTTCTATAAGGCCTAGGCTTTATGAAAACAAAATAAAGCCTCACCTCAAATCCTCATCCGGAAAGCACTTTTGGCAACTAGAACCTCCATTATGGCTCTAAAATCAATTTTCAACATCAGCAATAAAATTTGAAACTCAAAAACTGATACAGATCTTGTGGGTCTATGAATACTAATTTTTTGGGAGAAATGGACAGTCTAAGATAATTTGTTACAATATACACTATTTTTAGAGCTTGAAATCCTAATCTTTTTTCACAACCATCATGTTCAAGCCGAGATGATTGATGTAAAGCTTTTCCAATACCTGAATTTGATGAGTAATGAGATAAAATTTTACTTCTTTTGATAGAGCTGCATCCCCATCAAACCATTTTCCATTATTAATAAACGGCGTTGGAGTACATGTGATTTATATATTTTCCATCCTTATAAGCAGCAATTGCCAAAACCAATTAACTTGATAACCCTTCAAAGGTTTTTAAGTTGATCTATTCTTTTAGCTTTTTGCCCTTTTCTCTCTTCCCCATTAAAACTCTAAGCTTCTCTCTCTTTTTCTTGTTATTAAAAAAAAAGGTATCACCACAAGATTCCACCTCTTTATTTTTCTTTTTCTTTTTTTTGAAAATCAGTATCAGCGCATTAGAGGCTGGCTAACTCACCCATACATTTGTGGGCCATGACGATTATGAACCTCCAAGATATTCATAATGGCTAAAGACCATAGCTTTGGATTGGAGTGCCTCTTTTTTTTCTGTGTCAGTATGTCTCAGTGGATTATGCATTGTCTTTGCCTCTATGACTCTACAACTGTAGTTGCATATTTGGTGGATATCAAATGTCTTTTAAATAAACTTGAAATTTGGAAAAGGAGACATCTGAATTTGGAATAGAAATTATAGAATCATTGAATATTTGAATGTTCTTTTTTAATGTTAACAATTGAATATTTGAATGTTAAATTATAATTTCATCGATTGAACAAAAAATATGACTTCTCTATCTACATGTGAACTTACAATTTCTCACTAGAATCCTTATTTTGGGGGATTCTTTTCTTTTTTTTGGGGAAACCTGACAAGATTCACCATTAACCCGGCCTGACCCATGCCCGGTTCCTAAGGCAAGTCCAGGATTTAAAACATTATTATTACTCAAAATTTAAAAATAGGTTGCAGGATGAGGGGCACTTTAAAATCATATCTGATATATTTGTGAAGAGAAAGAAAGAAAAGAAACCATTTGACATAAGAAAGTGCCTCAAGTTAAATAAAATTTTTTAATATTCTAAACCCATTTTCTATTATAGATTCCATACCATTATCACAGCATGCGTAACAGTAACGCTGATAAGATTCTCTTTCTCTCAATGAACATAGTATTCTCTATGTACCAAAAAAGTTATAAATAATTTCCATTTCCTGAGTAAGTATAAATGGTTCAGTTCACTGGTTTTATATGTACAGTTTCGTTCTTTTATTTTCTTTTCTTTTTTCTTTGATGAATTAATATGAGTATACGTTTGCTTTTTGTGTTTTTGCATCTTACATCTTAAAACTAAAATTTCTTGTTTTTCTCCATAAATGGCTAGAGGCCCATCCCACAAGAAAGATGAAGGGCAGAAATATTCCCAATGATAGAGTCTTCATCAGACCTAGAGACATCAGAACTAGTTTATCATAATGATGTAATGACCTTAGCTTTATGGTGATAAAATATTTACCGTTTATAGGACAAGAAAAAAATTTCTAATTCTATTTTTAGTACTATTTTTTACCTCCTAGCCATCCTCAACATTGAGTGTATTCATGGATTAAAAACTACTCAGTAACATGTAAAATATAATCTTCCCTTCTACAATTCATTCATTATAAAAGTCTGAAACATTCTTCAGATTGAGCAATATAATGACATATGATGAAATGGCCGAATACATGGCACAAAAAAAAAAAATGTAATTTAGCATATGATGATTTGAGAAACTTAAGTTGGCCCAGCAGGGAATAAAACTCTATCATACAGAAATCGGTGGTGAAGAATGAATGTTTTTAAAAGGAAAAGTCAGAATCCTAATTCAACAAGTATGACTAGTAGGGACGCATTGCGATATACACTAATCATTAAAAAGAAACAAAATGACAAAGAGCAAGAATAAGACGTCCTTTCCATGTTGACACAAAAAGGAAGACCACTTATTATCCTTAAGGAAAAATATGGGCATTGAGATCTTAACATTGAAAGCTTACCAGAAGTTGAAGACCCACGAGGATCAAAGTCATCGTCCTCATTATCTAATGGTGTCTTCAACCCTTGGGACTTAACAGTAGGCACCTGACTATGATGAGAAAAAAAAAAAAAGACTTGGTCAACCCTTCTAACATTTGAATGGAACTTTACATGATAGCCATAAGAAATTAGAACACATGAGAAAAAAAAATTACATCATTGCCTAACTGCAATACACAATAGGAAAAGTTAATAATTTCGCATAACAAACTGCTTTGATAAGGAATAGCCCAAGGGATAGAAAATAAACCATAACTAAAAATCTATGAAAATTTCATGGATAACTAAGCTCCTAATGAACTTCCCAATTGCTATTCTAGACATGACAAAACACATGCAAATCCATATTCTATCAGCAAAGGTCTCTCTGCTAACTGGAGGGAGGGAGGTACTTTCATGGAAATTGAAGAGCACAAAACCCAGTCATCATCAATTTACTTGTATTTTGGGTATTAAACCACTCACAGGAGGCAAACACCCTGACAATGGTTAAATTTGGCTGTCACATGGGTGGAATTTAGATTGTGGGGCAACATTACTCATGCAATCATGGACCTTCCTGGAAAAATATCATTTTAAAATATATTTCCCATTGTATTAATACTATCAATCAATAAAAGAAATTAAATTGGACTCAGCTCAAGCTCTAACTGCTGGAATTAAGACTATAGAGATGATTAACATTTCATATCATTTAGATTTTTTTTTTTTTTTCTTTTTTTGAATGTTAACTTGAAACGTGGTGAGTTGTGGTACCCACCACCTTTACAACCTCTGACATAGAGGCCATTCTTCATGGCACTTTGAACTTTAGTACCATCAAGACACTGCTTGGCTCCTAGGTTGAATGTATACTGCTATTATATGGTGTACGTCTCTCTTCTCCCATTGTCATCAGAACCTCCATACTAACAGCTTGAGTGTTACAGCATTGTGATATGGAACTCGTAGACAGGCCAGATGACTTCTTTCAGGCACCACGGGCACTCTGATAACTAAATTTACTTTCTTTTGGATTCATTGTCACAGTTCTGCAGGCTCGCACGTTTGTGCTTGTAAACATGAATAGGCCAGTCTATGTGCCATTTGTCTATGCATTACAGCCTACGGTTTTACTTTGTTTAAGCATTATAGTTGCAGCTTTTGCCTATGCACAGCTATTTCCTAACCTTAGATGCAACTCCAATAAGTACTTAGGCAGATTATTTGTATTTTATTATTGAAGGGTGAACTTGGCCTTCTTTTTTTTTTTTGAGAAGAAAGGTGTGGGTTCTTTTTAAAAACTAAAAATAAAAATTTCTCTTTTTTTTTTTTTTTCCGGTAGCTCAATGGGGAAGGTCCCTTTACCCTAGCATTGGTAGGACTCGAGCCTGGGATCCAGGCACCGCGAATTTCATCACCCAACGTGCTGGCCTTCTTATTTGGTTAGCATATAGGTTTCAGAAAGCATGAAGCTTTTTGAAAAGCAAAGATAATAGTAGAAATGTATATATGCCCCCATATACAACAGCCAATAAAACTTCAATTAAAATGTAACCCTTTGTTAGCTGTAAATGAAAATGAATCCTTTTTTTTTTTAATGGAGGTGGCCATCTGTTGGATTTCACAAACTGCACTGCCTTATAATTAATTTGTCATGTAGGGTATTTTAACTACCATTTTCCCTATTACCTTTTGCCTAATTGAAACTTGCTGAAATTCAAAGCCAAGCTCCAAATCAACACTCACTGGAATCCACACAAATTTTGCCAAAATAAAACATCCCAAAATTAAACTCAGAAAAATCCATTGAAATTTTACCAAAACAAGACATCCCAAATTTCGTTGAAGGAGAAAATTTTGATTTAATGTCACCAAGCCAAGCCCCATATCAAAACTCACCAAAATCCACATCGAAATTTTGCTGAAAAAAAGAATTCTCAAACTTTGGGTGAGGTAGCCAAGCCCCATATCTAAACTGACTGAAATCCATGAAATTTTGCCGAAACAAAACCCCCCAAGTCTTCATTAACTAATCCATGCTTTACAAACTCATTAAAATGCACTCCGCTTACCCACACATTAACTTTCACTGTTCACTCTTCCATTGTCTTTTTTTTTTTCTGCCTCTGATCATTGATAAAAAAAATCCACCAGTAAAAATGATTCTTACAAGTATATATTCACAAAATTTATCCACAACAGCAGGACGTACACACAGTCACAGAAATGAAGCTTCGAAAGAGGTCATGCAACACAAGTTGGGTGGTCAGCAATTGCATTCTTTTCCCTCCAAGAGAAATGGAGAGTAACCGAAATGCCACTAAGCATTGGAAAAATGTCTTAAAAACACAAGCCTCCAGGGGAGGAGTTATTTCGTTCTTTGCCCATGATATGCCATTCTTTGAGTCGCCTTTCTCACTAGCTTCACACATTGGTAAGGGTCCTGAGTAAATCATTAAAATTCTGCCCGTATAATCTGTCAAGGGTCCTGAGTAAATCATTAAAATTCTGTCCGTATAATCTGTCAAACCCCCCCCCCCCCTTTTTCCAACCCCAACCAATCAATGTTACCGTGGGAGGTACCATTAAAATTGAGTTTCATTGGATTGCTTTTGGTGGCATCCACTCTAAAGATCTGTTAATACTCATCAAACTACACACAATTAAATCTCATTGGCTTTTGAAATCTTCAATGGAATTCCCCAATAGGCCCAAGCCCATGATCATGGTTATAATCTTATCGCTTAACCATGTCATTCCATGTATCTCATATTAAATGTATGACAGTTTCTGTCAATCCAAATAACCCATAGACTTGTGAAAATTAACATTTTCCAAAGAAGTGACCCTCTTTTAGGTAGAGATGAGGCCATCCAGTGCTTCATCAGAAATTGGATTGACCCTGATATAACCCATTGATTTTGGAATAGTATCAGAAGATACTCCCATATTCTTCCAACAACTTGTCAATGAAGATACAGATGGTTGAAATCCTGGGCTTCATTCTTGCACATAACAGAACTATTGAGCAGGAGCATCCCTCGGCAGACCAGGTAGTAAAATAAGTGGAAACAAACACCTCCCAATTCCTAAAACAAGTGAACTCGCAAGGGGTAAAAAATGGATCAGTCTTGTACAGATCACCAAATATTTCATAAGACAAGGGAGATTTCCAAGTCTTACACAAGTATCACCCAAATCCCACCAGTCTTATCCATGTCCTGTAAGAAAAGTCAACATCATAAAAAATATCGGAGTCTTCGTGGTTAAGACTCAGTGAGTTAACTTGTCTCAATACCAGGCTGAGTCATGAGTCAAATCTGAGATTATGAACATTATTTGCAGGGCCAATTGGATTCTGTGATTCTAATGAGGCAAGAAAGGGCACTCCATAGAGAGGTTACAAACTCTCAATACTCTCTCCCTAGAATGTGTTGAGGCCGCTAACAAAGGAAGTTGACCTGCTATAGACTATCAGATGGGAAAAGACTAGAGACAGAGGTGCTGTGGGGGACACTAACTTATTAGAGGAGATACACAAACTCAGTCACACATAAGTGGTTTCCTTTCGTTACGTCCATACAGGCACCAACAAGACAAGTCAGTTCTCTTGGAAAACAAAAGGTGATCACAAAGACAATCACAATTTGGAATATTCAGCAGTTCCCTTGATATCTATTCCAATTGCATGCTAATCTGTAACTGTTTCATCACATGATATAACTGTTTTCATGATTTTTCTTGATACTTACTAGACCAAAGAAATCACTCAAAGAACTAAACAACCACCTGAAGTTCCCTCAAACCTCCATTCCTATTTCTTCATCTTTTGCAGGGTTCAATGACATAGACAACAATATTTTCGAGGGAAATCACACTCATCATAGAAACATACCCCCCCTCCCATGACCACCAACCTACTCAGCAATGTGGGCCCATCTATAATCAGTGAAAAGCAGAGAGCAAAGCAGTGCACACCAGTAAAAATGTCACTTGATTAGTCAAATCAAAGTAGCAACATCATTCCAAGAACTAGTAGAATTCCATGTCAGGTACCTCTAGCATTAACATTGAAAGCAACACCATTAACTGGCTAAATATTCACAACAAAACTTCCGGTTACAACACTCATTAAGCATCAACATTTCACAACTAATGCTGCTAGTTGACTTTCAAAAGTGATGCTTGTAACTTTCAATACTAAAAAAAAATGTTAGGATAAAACTCCACAAGCTTTAGTTAAAACTAGTAGAGGCATGTGTTTTGCCCAACAATTGTCACCTGCCATGATGGCAGACCTGCAGAGCATGCATCAGGCATTGGTGCCCAGCATTTGGATCAATATTCAAACTTTAGTTCACAGGATGCATGGTCAAGAAATAAAAAAGCACTTCTGCTTGGACAACATGGGCATTGCCACTCCAGATCCTGATACCAGGAAACAAGGAAAGCAACTAAAGGTACTTCACTAAGAATATTAGGTAGAAAAGAGTTGACCTTGATGAACCATTCACATCTGTCCCCCTGCCATAGCACGTGGATCCCTTCTTAGAAGAACTCCTTTCATTTTCAGAACCATGTCGTCTTCTAGGCTTCTCGTCACTCTCTCCCTCATAATCAGCTCCATCGCCATGCTTCCAATCAGCTTCATCCCCATCATTACGCTTCCAATCATCTTTAAAACTGTCTTTAAATGTGTCATTCTCCTTCACACCGTTATGGCTTCCAAAACCCTGATAGGAGCCGCCACTACCATATGAGGCTGAACTTGATTTAAACGTGACTCCAGTTGAGGAAAGTCCAAAGTACCTGAAAGTTTTGGCAACAGCAATTAAATTCCAGAAACAAAATTATATTATAAAAAAACAAAAGCACAAATATCTGTTACTATTCACCCACTTGTCCCTGTTAGCAGCTGCTTTTCGTCTGGCTTCCTGGATCTTATCTTTGTCATTAAGGAGAGAAAGAAGAGTTTGGACCTTTTTCCTGACGTTGATACCCATGTCCTTTCCATTTGGCTCAACATAGTCAAATTCTGAGATAGACTTTACCAAAAAAGAGCAATCAGGAGAGTTCAACATTGCAAGGAACAGATGATTCAAGAATGAAAATTACGATTTAAGAAATAATTGGACAAATTCAATCCACAAAAATAAAAATTTATCTATTAGACAACAAATTGAAGAAAAGCATCTGACAGAGGTCTTACTGAGATCTGATAAGTATGCTCTACAATGTCTTCTACAGCACGTTGATCTCCATTAGCGATGAAGTATTCAATAACAGTTAATGCCTGAGAAAAGTGGCATTCCAAAGCATGGTAAGCAGAAATTCAAAGACTAAAAGATAGATTAAAACCCACATGAGAAAAGCTGTAGAAGCTTCATAAAGTGCAAACTGAAATTAATAGAATAAATATACAAGATTATCTATTACATTACAAAGGAAATCCCACCTTATAGACATGGCGCCAGTTTTTACCAGTATCGTTCAATCTCGTCCAGAGAACATTCATAATCATTTGCCGATCAGTGCTGCAAGTAGAACAACAAGATCATAAGAGCATTCTGGAACTGAATGGAATTAACTGTATAAAATAGCAGGACATACAAACTCTTTGTGGCCCGTGCAAGCTCTGCTAAATCAGATCCATGAGGACCCCAGGGTTCATTGCTTGTAGCATCAAGGACCTGACATTGTACAAAATATCATGGAAAGGTTTGAGATCAGATGAGATAAGATTGCAAGGATAACCTAGCCATAACACCAAATCATTTTCAAGCCAAGATATAACATTAAGATCAATACTAAATCAGTTTTTCCTATGATACAAAATCAGCATTCTCAAAAGCAGACTCTTCCCACTTTCAGGAACTCACAAACTCCAGTACGAGGAAAGCAGATACAGCATAAGACAACATAATGAACACCGCAAGATTGCTACTGTTTACAAAACCTAATTTCTGACGATAATAATCAAGGATAACAATAAAGAAAACCAGTCGCACAGTCCTACGCCAAACAAAGAGACTGCGTACAGGTATCCAGCAAAAGCCAAATTTCATATAGCTTGATATAAAGAAATGAATGAAACAGACTGATATTTCACTCATATAAAGATGATTTGGATTCACAAATTTCATATAAATAGTCAATCAGATTGCAAGATCAAAGCTGACCCAGTTCAAATGAAAGCATGTGTTATGCTCCTGATTCTACACTGGCAGATGCTGATGTACAGCATTAGTATAACAGAAGTAAAGATATTCCTCCACAAGAAAAAGGGGACAAATTTTGGCAGATAAAGTCTTATCAGAAACTGGGAAAGGGCACGTATACTATACTCCCGTATATTTACTCCCTCGATCAAAAGACCTACATGGGAGGATTTTTCAATATGAAATTTTGGGAACCACCTAAAGATCACCAGGTGATTATTCTAAAAGGAAGATATTTGAAATTTGAGTTTTCGAAAACTTAGATCTCACCCTCTAAAAATTGGAGGGTCTCTATTCAATATTGAGACATTATTTTTTTTAAGTCCATAGAGGGTGCAATTAGGGAAAAAAATTATTGAGATTAAACTATGGGTTGAAGAGGTTATATCGCCAAAATTTGGGGTCCTAATATTAATCCTGGGCAGGGTTTTACCTGAAGAAGTAAATGGACATTATACTCCCAAGGGAGTTTATTATCTTTTGGCACTGGGAAAAATGCTGTCATGCCTCCAATATCTAAAGCCCCAAAATAGTTACAACCATGCCTCAGCTTCAACTGTTCTATATAGGGTTATTGATACATCAGAAGATTTTAATTGTCGAGCAACTTCCAGAAAATAAATTTTTACATAAGAAAGGCTAGATATTCTACACTCATTTTTTCTGCACTTTGTATTCTCTTTCGCCGCACCACGAATGTATATGATGATGCGCACATGTTTGTGTAACTCTAAACTGGCAGTCCATTTGGGTACTTGTGGATTTGTGAGCAACTAACAATAAAAAATAGAGGTGAATATGTGATCAACATGGGCATGTTCCCTAGGAAACTGCAGATGGTGGTGGAATCCACAAGAACGCTCTCTTTAATGGAGAATTCCTAATTTGAATCGTTTGTTAGTCCATAAGGCAGAACAGGCAAAGCCATGGAAGGCATGGTCCCTAGATTTCATTCCCATTATTTGGAATTGCCTCCGAGTGTAATGCAATAAAATTATAAATCCCAAGAAGAATAGGCCTAACTGAGAGATCAAAATATCGAGATGGTGAACAGTAGTGCTACGTTGGCCAGATGATGCCGGATATAAGAAGTGAGATGAATAGTTGTGGAAGATTGTAAATGTCCATGAGACATGTTAAGGACAAAATTTTGATACATCATGTGAACACAGGGCAGGTATTAAAGCTCATAAAAACTGCAACACAAAACATTGGGCATCTCTTAAGCAGCTAGGGAGGGGGCCTAGGCACCTCAGTTGCCTCGAGACTGAGGCATCCCAGTCTAGTAATTATATATGTGTGTGTGTGTGTATATATATATATATATATATATATATATATAAGGCCCTGATGATGATGATGATGGAATGAATTGTTAACACCCTATAAAATCTTGTACCCCAACTACTTGGGTTCGGTTACACAAATCTTGTTCCACCATTCTACTCTACTCAAGGCAGTGTAGGAAAAATCGGACGATTAAAATTCTAACTGCCCCGTTAGACCCGGTTAGATCGAACCAACCACTAGTCGGTTCCAGTTTCGGCCTGTTTTGGTGAACTGGCAAGGTTTTAAAAAAACTTACGTAAAATTCCAAAAAATAAGGGGTTTTGTTTGCAATGTATTTTTTAATGTTTTTCATCATTTTGACAAAGATTGGAAATTGTTTTGGCCATTAGTACTTATTTTTATATTTTCCCATTGTTTTTGAAAATTTTCAAAAATAACTCTTAGCACAAATCAATTCTTTAAAATACATTTTTTTCATTAATTTTCAACTTTATTTCGAGCTGCTTTATTTAATCATGGTTTAATTATTTATATTTTTTATATTTATATTTTTTTTTAATACTTTTTTGACCGCCCAGGACTTGCCCGGTTAGTCGGGTTGAACTGTGGTCGGTTTACTGGTTAGGCCGGTTGAACTACTTCTAGCTCCATGTCCAGTTAACCGTTACGGATCGATTTTTCCTACATTGACTCAAGGTGTATATATATATATATATTATTGTTAATACCCTATAAAATCCTATAAGTTATATTTAGAAAGGGGTATGAATTGTTAAAATTACCATAGTTGCCCATTTATTTATTCAAAATTCATAAAATGAGTAAGGGCATTTTTGTCATTAAAAAGGGTATTGTTGATATTTTCACTAAAAAACAAGGGTAACTATAGAGTGAAGTTTTAAGTACTTTATTAACATAAATAACCTAGTCTTTTTAATGAATATTTCAAATATGCCATTCTTGAGATGCCGAACATACCTTTTGTCTGTTAGTGCAGATATCAACACTACCTTTTATAATAATGAGAATGTCCTTACTCATTTTATAGTAATGGAATAAAGAAAGGGGCAACTAAAGTAATTTTGGCATTTCACACCCCTTTCTATATGTAACCTATAGGGTTTCATAGGGTGTTAACATTGGGGGGGGGGGGTTGGGGTGTGTGTGTGTGTGTGTGTATTCTTTATACGCCAAATGGCTAACGAAAATATATAGCTCAAAGGCCCAAATTGAATCTAAGCCTATCTAATGGCCATCGCGGTAACTCAGTGTTTGAATTTTAATTTTTATTAATCCAATGGACCTAAAACTTTGGGGGCATCTGTTACTCACCAATGTGCATCAAAAAATATAAAACGACTAAATAGTCAACCATTAGCAGTGAATGTAGCAAGGTTGTTTAGGTCATTTTGAATTCTACGTACCAAGCCAGTCATGCAGGTCCCAAGCCTGGGTCAAGGAGGAGGGTTGTGTTAGGTAAGGCAGCCAGTATAAAACTTTGTCAAATTTTGTCATGAATCATGAACCTATGTCATATGCTCATGCTAGGGTGTGGCGTTCCCTATAAACGACGCATTGTACCGGCACTCGAGTGCAATGAGAAATGAGCAAGGGTCAGCTAGGACGTTCCCTGGAAGCGACGCTAGGTAAAAAAGCTAGTCTAAGAGAATATAATTGGTCTAGCCACATAGAATGTAGGAATGCTAACAGGTAAGAGTATGGAGCTAAAAGATACAATAAGACGAAAAAGAGTTAACATAGCTTGCCTACATGAAATTAAGTAGAAAGGGGAGAAAGCTATGGAAATTGATGGATATAAACTTTGGTATATAGGGCAGCATAATAATATAAATAGTGTAGGCATAATGGTAGACAATAACTTAAAAGATAAAGTAGTTAATGTCAACATAGTAGGTGATAGACTCCTATTGATTAAACTTATATTAAGAGAGGAGATAATTAATGTAATTAATGCTTATGCACCACAGATAAGACTAGATGATAGAATTAAGAGATGAACTAGTCCAAGAAATACCAAATTGAGAGAGGACCTTTTTAGGAGGGGACCTAATGGTCATATAGGAAAAGATAGTAGAGAATATGAAATGATACATGGGGATATGGTTTTGGGAAAGAAATGAGATGGATGAGGCTATTTTAGATTTTGCTATAGTTTAAGACCTAGTAATACAAACACCTACTTAAAAAGCGAGATGAACCCTTAATAACTTATAAAAGTAGATCATATAAAAGCCAGATAGGCTTCTTTCTAGTTAAGAACGCAGATTGTCCATCATGTACAGACTATAAGGTTATTCTAGGAGAGAGTTTGATAGGAAACATAGGCTCCTAGTTATGTATATCTGCATAAAGAAATGGAAGAGGAGGGAAATTAATAGGGGTCTAAAAACTAGGTGGTGGAATTTAAAAAGCGAGAACATGAACTTATTGAGGAATAAATTGGTAAAAGAAGGAAAATGGAATTCTGAGCAAGAAGTTAATTTGATGTGGAATGAGATGGCTGCTTGTATTAAGAAAGTAGCCAAATAAATTCTAGGATAATCTAGAGGGAAAAGAATTTTCAATAAAGAAACGTGGTAGCGGAGTGAGGAGGTTCAAAAGGCTATTTGCGAAAACCGATCATGTTATGAAGCTTAACAATGTAATAAAAATGACCAAAACTTCGAAGAACATAAAAATGTTAAGAAAATACCAAGGCTAAACTTAAGGCATATGATAATCTATACAATAAATTGAGGACAAGAGAAGGTGAAAAAGTCATCGTGCAATAAAAAAAGAGAAAAGGGAAATGTAGGGCTCTAGATCATATTAAATGCATTAAAAGTGAGGATCAAATGATCATGGTTAAGGATGACGAGATCAACGAAAGGTGGAGAATTTATTTTCAACAAGTGTTAAATAGCGAACACTATGGGAACATAGCGTTAGGAGGAACCCTTGACATAAATGAGGGCGGAGGTCATAGATACATTCACAAGATTAGGATATCTTAAGTGCAAGAAACTTTGAGAAGTGCAAGCGGGAGATTAGAATATGTTGGCTAACCAAGTTGTTCAATAAGGTATTGAGAACAAAGAAAATGCCAAACAAATGGAGAAAAGTATTGTGGTACCTATTTACTAGAACAAAAGGGATACAGAATTTTACGAACTATCAAGGGA